ACGAGAGATGTTAAACCAATTCTGGGACACCCTGTATATGTACGTATAATGTGTACATACATCTTTTACACAACTAATGTGTTGGATATTTTCAATGATAAACTCTCAGAATTATTAATTGTGTGTATTTCAAGTAAACACATTCCGGATGTTTTTGAAGAAATCGTGTACTACACACTATATACTATAACGAATAGATACTTGCATACAACATACATATAAAATTTAGCAAACTATAAATAGCAAAACCTAATACTTCTTACTACAAAAGAATTTTTTTTTAAACAAATAGTACTTTCTTTTTTATTTTAATATTTTTACTCAATCATCTTAGTTTGTATTACCTTGTAACTTTCACTGTTGTGACTGAAACTCATCAACAATTTTCTCTCGTTTTCCTATTTTCTGATAAAAACGTTGATGATATCGGAAAGCAACGCATTAGCGACCGTGACATTGAAATTTTTCTTGATGAGAGAGATTGCAGACGGATACGTAGTGAAGCAAACGAAGATAATGCAATGATCAAGAGAATGATATGTGTTGTCTTATAATAGCGAACACAGTTGTGCCGCGCATAGTGTGTGAATTTGCGTGTCGCCGAAAAACCGGTATTTCCCTCTCATTAATAGAAGATGAAAGATCTTTTTTTTTTTATTTTTTTTTAACGTGTTTCTGTTATATAACATTCCCGTGTGAAAAGATTATTTAGTATGCGACTGTCAGTGTTGTTAAATGGAAATGAAAAGTTNTAGACATCGGAATCTGTCCTCGATGTTGTGTGATGTGATTCTACGTGAAGATCAATTGTCCCTCGCGAATTAAGAAATCTACATATCAATCGCTTGTTAATTTTATCGACGTATGTAGTAAGCGATAATAACATACTTGTTGTCTAAAGACGGATTATCTCTTCAACTTCTATTTTTGTGTGACTGCATAATCACAGTTGATTAATTAAAAAGTTCTCAAGTTATAAGGAAAAACTTTCAAGTGTCTTAACAAGGATATTCGGTAGATTTGCAGAAATTCAGTTTGAATTACAACAGTATGAATCAGTTAACAAAAGGTTTCGTCCACCGTTATTTTTGCGCTGTAATTCTGCTTATTGTTTCAATCTCGTGCGGAGGAAATTCTACGATGAGCAACGACGAGCAAAATAATACTTCGATGATAGAATATCACACAAATTTTACGGAAATATACAGCGATGAGATGAAGCAGAATAATTTCCGCAGCAATTTCACTGACGATAATGAAAAGCAATTAACGAACTTCACCAATCGTGAAGATAACGACACTGTGGAACATGAAATAGAATTGATGAAGAGTCAGAGAAGTCAGTATGTGAAGCCAACACACGTCGAGATTAACGCGAACTTCACAAATTTGGAAGACAGAAGTAACTTCACGTACGATCTTCGCGAAAATTCAACCGTGGATGGCGGCAAAAAAAATATCATTCAGCTCTGCTGCCCTTACGGTCACCGCCTGTCCCTCAAGAAACAAGAGTGTATCGCTGCGGTTGACGTCGATTACGTCTTCCCGAATGTCACAGACTCCGACGAGCCGTTCGACCAAGTGTTCGATTTGGTCGTTCACGATCCGTGCACCAACGACAATGTCATGCACTTCATGATTGATTCCGTCAAGGCTCCGGATAGCGTGTATTATTTTTTCACCGGAACATCGTCGGCGTATTTTCCGTATCACAACATTAGCATCCCGGCGTTGTATTACTGTCTCGCTGCNGTAAACCGGAACAATTACGAACTCATCATTTGCAAGAATAAACTGCAGCGTCAAATTCACATAACCGTAGCTATCGTGATTTCGTTGCCGTTTCTTCTTATGACGTTTGCGGTGTACAGCGTACTGTCGGAGTTCCGAAATATGCACGGGTACATGTTGCGAGCGCACATCGCCTCGTTATTTNTCTCGTATATGATCTTTCCCATATTCCGCGAAGTTTACGTGGAGGATATCGACTATTCGCTCTGCGTTGCACTGTGTAGGTATAATAGGTATAATAGCGTTTTGCAGACTTACATTTTATAAATTATAGATTATTCAGAGAGTAAATATATTTATTACAGTCGATCGTCTGAAATGGATCTTATTATTAAATAATTTTTGATTATTTATTGACTGTTTCAGCAATCGTGCTCACTTTCTCGTTTTTGTCAAGTTTCTTCTGGNTAAATGTCACCTGCTTCGATATTTGGTGGACGTTTGGGTAACAGTTTTCAAATGTTATCTTTGTAAAAAAAATTATATATATGTATATACAGGGTGTCCCAGAATTGGTTTAACATCTCTCGTAGGCAGGTAGAAGGAATAAAACTGAGTCGAAATGTCCTATACCGTTTTTTGCTAGATTCGCAATAGTTACTGAGATTTTAATTAACAAAGATCCGCGAATAAGCGTGCATCAGGCTGTCTTACGCGCAGAGGACAGCCCGGCGCGCTTCGCACAATTACATTTTAATATGTATATGTTATAGTATATGCTGTTATATTAGCTCCTCCCATATGTCGCTATGGGTAACACCGTTAGCGCGCGAAGCGCACTGGGCTGTCTTACGCGCGTAAGACAACCCGATGCATGCTTATTCGCGGATCTTTGTTAATTAAAATCTCAGCAACTATTGCGAATCTAGCAAAATGATATAGGACTTTTCGACTCAGCTTTATTCCTTCTACCTGCCTACGAGAGATGTTAAACCAATTCTGGGACACCCTGTATATATGTATATTGTCGGTTTGCTTAAAAAAACTAACGCAAGTAAACGTGTAAATTCTATTTTTGAACCGCGGCCAATGGCAACAATCATCTTTATTGAGCATTTGATGCACAATCACGCGCGACCTTTTTTTCTTCTACTTATTAAGTAAATATGAATTTTTGCAGAGGATTTCAGTCGATACACAAGGGAAGAGTAAAGCCGAAAAGAGAAAAGAAAACGTTTATTCTATACTCGATGTACGCGTGGGGAATTCCCTTCGTTATTACCGTTTTAGCTTCTATAACAAATTTTACCAGCGCACTCAATTTGATCCAACCGAAATTCTGCACAATCAGATGTTGGTTCAGTAAGTGATCACAATCATAGTCGTATATTTTTAGAACACATTCTGAATTCTTGATTATTTTGTGTGATTTTGATTAAATACACAAGATATATCTTACACGGATGTGAAAAAACACTGTATAACGCGAGACACAAATTGGTTATTCTAGCGGAGGAGGCAAGGATGTATTACGTGAACACACCTATGTACATCATTCTAATCTGCAATATATGCTTGTTCGTCTACACAACGGTGAAGATACTGTGGCACAAAAGAAGCACGGATCACGATCTGAAAGGATCACAGAGTCAGCGCTACGATGACAATAAACAAAGGTTCTCAATCAAAAAAGAGTTTTACGCATTTCTCAGAAAAACTTATAAAAACATGCTAATAATTTATAATTTTTATGTTTCTCTTCAATTTTATAAAACCGATGATCTAAAAGAGATAAACAGAAACAAATATATTCGTAGATTTGTTATGTATTTGAAGCTGTTCATTGTGATGGGTGTGAGCTGGACTTTCGAAGTAATGACGATGATGTTAACATCCTCCACGCCGGATTTCGTCTGGTTCCTCACGAACATGATAAACGGATTGCAAGGTGTCATCATTTTTGTCATATTTGTGTGCAAGAGGAANATCATACGGCTGTTGATGAAACGATTTGGTTGCAAAGAGAATACTCTGTGCTGCGCGAGTTTTCTGAGCAACGACAGTTCTGCTTCTCAGACCACAACTGTCACAACGCGGTCTGCAGACGACGTAATGATGCAGCAAATCGAATCATCCAAGTAAATATTCTCGCAAATAGTTCAGATCAGAGTGTACGTTAACATATTCACGAAAATATATGTTCTTTTTTTCCTATATTTTATAAAAGTCGATGGAAAACAATATTACATAAACACTGAACTATAATATGTATTGGCCATGGTGTAATAATATAAGGTGTAACATTCCGTGGATGCGCAGTAGCCAACCAATCAGATTTGGGTCAAAATGCTTGGAATATGGCGTCCAATATATATAGTGTCCATGTGACACATTCTGTTACAGATGTATTTTGACCCAAATTGCCGCCGCCATTATGCGCAATGTTACACCTTATATTATTACACCATGGTATTGGCTGCGTTCGGGAAACACGCTATCAGCGCTATTGGGTCATTCCATCTTTGGGTGCGTTCAGACAACTCAACGGTTGAGAGATCATCACTTATGATAGGACTATTCTTC